ACTCCTGGCGGACAGCGGGGAGCCTCACCAAGCCGTGGAGAGATACAGGCATGCTGTACAGTGAGTCATGCACACGCGCACGCACAGACACACGCACGCCCCCACACACGCACGCACGCCCACACACGCACACACACACTCATGCTCACACTCACACATGCACACGCGCGCACACACGCACATACACTCACACGCACACACACCCACACGCATACACACACACACGCACACACACATGCACACATACACACGCTCTCGCACAAAACTTTTGTCTTCTATATATATTATATTTGTGAAAGTTCGTCACTTTGGTGGCCTAAAACTTCCGAACCTCTTAACTCTCCAATCTGAAAAAAATTAATGGTGGTTCAGAATCATTTAAAGGGTGCACAGTTGTATTAAGGAGTCTGAAGTCACTGTAGTTTAATTTTCAGTTTGTCATTAGTTTCATTTAGATCTACTCTTGGGAAATTCCATCTTCTAAGATGCCATTGTAAACCATTGAGGCTTCCGTTCCCAAGCAGTGCGCTCTGTTCCCACAATGACTTGACGATCGGTTCTTTTGAGTCCATTCATCGAACGGGTACCCCGCTAGTCTTTTAATAATAATATATATTATTTGTATAGCGGATACCACTGCTCAACAGCAAGCTCTATGCGCTTTGCGGATCCATAAATTATTACCGCAGCAGACCATAGAACACTCGGAAACATTCTCAGCTTCCCGGGAAGCACGCAGTGCAAGCAGCTGGTTAAGCACTCAAACACTAACAAACTGACAAGATCTTTTACACGTATTTATAGCCGGGTACCCATTCCCACCTGGGTGAAGTGAGGAAAATTCATGTAAAGCGCCTTTCCCAAGGACACAACTTCGAGCCCCTGATAAGATTTGAACCCACGACCTTGTGTTTGCGGGTTTGAGAGCGTAGCCGCTAGGCCACAGACGCCATGGTTTTATGTTTTCTTAGTGCATTTGTTCTATTCACTTCGATGGCCCAGTTTTGAAGCTGTGCCAAAAAGTTGTCATTTTGTTCTCTTCGTGGGTGGTTGACTGGTGCTCTGGTATGGTTTGAAACATCTATCGTCCTTATCTCCCCTTCTTGTTTTTTATGTTTGTTACTCTCTCGTAACGCCTCTAATCTTTGGCACTGATATAACCTTATGCAGTTGCGAGTGCTGTAAAACCTCTACTCTACTAAAACTAAAAACTGTTCTCTTCACCTCTCTCACTCGCTGTTGTTGTTTTATTGTGTCAATAAGTTGTCATTTTGTTTTCTTAAACTCTGTGGGTGGTTGGCGGGTGCTCTGGTGTGGTTTGCTCCTTCTTTCCTATCAAACAGCTATTGTCCTTATCTCCCCTTCTTCTTTTTTTATGTTTGTTACTCTCTTGTAACACCTCTAATCTTCTGGTGCTCATATGACCTTATGCAGTTGCGAGTGCCGTAAAACCTCTACTAAACTAAACTAACTCTTAAACTCTCTCACCCCCCTCCAATCCTCCCCATACTCCCCTTCCTTCTCCCTTTCCCTTCTACACCCACCCCCCCTCCCCCACCCTCCCCACCCCCATCCCCTCTCAGTCTGAACCCAGTATACGACCAAGCCATGAACAACCTGGCCAACATCCTCAAGGACCACGGACAGGATGTGGAGGCGGAGCACTGGCTGGACAAGGCCGTCGCCATCACGTAAGCAGCAGTCGGAATACTTGTGAGGCGTGCCGACGAAATGAGTTAAATTTTTGGATTCTTTGAACCCCATCGGATGCTGGTAGCGTCCGGCGGTAATAGACCTGTGCCCCATCAGGCGCTGGGAGTGTCCAGTACTAGTGACAACAGTTTCGTTTTATTTAGTGCTAGTTTTTGCTTGTTTTTCTGAACTGTTCCTGAACCAAGATTTTAGTAATGACTAAGCCTTTGTTTCCGCTATTTAGAAGTTGGAGGCAAGCTTTTGGGGTTATAATGAGACATAGTGCACCAGGTTTAGGTGACTGTAGAAAAAAAACTCTGGGAAACGGTAGAAAAAATTCAGGGCTTAAAGAGTTAAAGAAATAGATACATCACGCTTATATAGCTGAAGTTTTTACAGTTCATAAATATGAAATAATAAAAGGCCAGTTATACTTAATGGGTATGGCATCCATAGAAAAATCTACAAGTTTGACCCTTGTGTCGATTTTTGGCCAATATCTTCATTTGTGGAATTTGAGAAGTTACTCATTTTGTCAGCTCACCTCTCAATTGGTCGCTTTTAAGGACAAGCGGGCTAACCCAGATTTCGAGGGTCTCCAGAAATCTTGACCTGCACGAAAAGTGGGCATTGCCCTACCTATAGGAGAAGTTTGGTTTCATTGATGTGTATATTTGTTTAGTTTTTAGAGATAACTCTCCTTGTCTTTTCAAGAGACTGAACAAGGGTCCAAAAACTTTACCTTCGCTTTTCTTAAAACAGCATTTTTAGGTATAACCCCCTTGTGTTTAAATGCGAACATTTAAAATAATAATAATAACAATATGTGAGACAGGGTAGTGAAATCAGGTGCTCGTCAAAATAATCAATATGAAGTAACTGAAATTTTCCGCAGGTTGTGATTTCTTATTGAATTTTTGTTTTTTGGCTGAACCCCTTTCATGCCCTTTAAAGAACACATTTCTGTGTGGATTTTACTCAAAAACGTTGAAATGTAAATTTTCAGTTTCCTCGGACTCTCAATCTGAGGAAATAACTAAACATGCCATGCGGAAATCAGACCCTCGTCAAAATAACGAAATTAAAGAACCGTAAATTTTACGACCCTCTGATGATTTTTATCAAATGTTTTGTTTTTTAGCTCAACACCTTTTGTGTCTATTTTGAAACTCATTTCTGTGCAGATTTGACTGAAAAACAGTACAAAAAATTTTAATTTGAGTTATTAGGGACTCTCAAGGTTTTGAAATCACCAAACTGAGGTGGTTGTTCTCTCGCTAATTTTACTATCTGACACAAAGCAACCCCAACCTAGGAGGCTCTGGTAGTCTAGAGGTTACGGTGTTTGCTTCCCATTCAATAGGTCCCGGGTTCGAATCTGGATAGCGACAGAAAATTGTCTTCCCTAAAATTGTCTCCTTTTACCTCCTTTCCTGCTCTCTATGTTGAACTGTTGTCTGCTTTCGTGTACACTTTCTGCCCCCACCCCCCTCACCTTCATTGCTCCCTTCTCTGGGCTCCTGACCTTTTCTGCAGCCTTTCTACTGCTACCACTTTGCTCCTTCTTACTGCTGTCTTTCAGCCACACCCCTAGTCTTACGGTAGGTAAGATCTACACCTATCCTTCTCGGATAAGGGCGAAAAATCTCGGGAGGTCTGGTGTGCAATTTGCACACGTTAAAGATTCCTTGATTGTTTTAAATCGATAAGAGTGGGCTTTCCTACCAAATAAAAATGTTTGATGTGTCCCGCGCGCTCACACGACCATATGCAGTTGCAAGAGCCATAAAACACTTACCCCCCCCAAAAAGAAATTGCCCAACATAAAGACAGCGTCTCATATCCTGGGTGAATGACAATACATGATCTTACAATAATGCAAGTGCCCTAAAACTCTTACTAAAACTAAAAACATAAAATAACAACATATCTCCCCCAAAAGAGAGAAGACAAAAAAATGTTTTAAGAAAAGAAAAGAAAAAAAAAAGGAACTTAGAGATTGTTTGTCATGAGAGATTCACCCTTTGTTTGTCATGAGAGATTCACCCTTTGTTTGTCATGAGAGACTCACCCTTTGTTTGTCATGAGAGATTCACCCTTTGTTTGTCATGAGAGATTCACCTTTCCCTTTGTTTGTCATAAGAGACTCCCTCTACAGACTCACGCTTTGTTGCTTTGTTTGCCATGAGAAACTCCTCACACGCTGTTTGCTCCTCCCCTCCCCCCAGGCCTGAGTTTGCGGCAGCGTGGATGAACCGCGGCATCGTGAAAGCCTCGCTGAAGAAGTACGAGGAGGCGGAGCAGAGCTACAGGCAGGCCCTGAGGCACCGCTGCAACTACCCAGACTATTATTACAACCTGGGCAATCTGGT